TAAATTATTTATTACATTTGCATCCCGCCTTTTCCCTCTTGCAAAAAATCCCAGGTGGTTCACATGGTGGACCTCCTACTTTTCTTCTCACTCCAGAACAACCCTGTGAGGTAGGTTAAGTGGAGAGAGAGCGACCGGCTCAATGTCACCCAGTGATCTCCATGGCCAGGTGGCATCAGCATCGGGATCTCCCATGAACTGGCAGTCAGCCCAGGTGGCACAAGAAAGGTGCTGACTGCACAGACTATGACTCCCTGTCTCTTACCAATATGCTGCAGCAGTCAGGGCTTCTGAACACACTTTTAAATGCAGTCCTATGTGAAGCGATCCTAACAGTCTAGCCTGAAGCTGAATACTCTTCAGATCAGGCAATGCTGTTGAAATTGCCCAACCCAATACAAATCATTCCTGGCCACTACGCTTGAACTGAGCGTCTGCAATTCATGCAAGTTCCAAGAAAACCTCCAAATTGCCTACTTAGCCTTTTGGGGTGCAGCAACCCAATGTGACACCAATGGCAACCTCTGTCCGACACAGGTAATGTCCCTACCCATCATACTTCTGCAGCCTGAGCAGAGTTTCTCTGAAATATTGTAGAATTTGGAGTCTGGGCTAGAATTTCTATAGCCCTGCTCTGGTATGTTTGTCAGAGATGCAGTCCAGTGGCACATGGCATTGCTTTCCCCCCGTCCTGATTTCACCTGTGTGCCTGTGAATTTCTCCTTGAGCTTGCTGGATGGGGTCCGGCCAGCCCTAAAACCTAGCGCCAGCAACCCCCCAAAGAAGAAGCCAACAGGAGCAGTTGCTTATGAGAAAGAAGTGCAAGAGAGAGTCACTGCTCATGACAAAGAGATGCTTAATCAGCTGCACATGATGGGAGAAAGAGAACTGGTGAGAAAAATGTTAGAAATGCCTTTTTTCTGTCAATGCAATTGCTGCGGGCTATTACTCCTCAGAGGCCTGTGAGTCATTTGGGGCCTAACGACACTTTTTTTTCCCTTGGGAACTTTTAAACTGAAATCTCTTTCTCAATTCTGGTTCACACTGTTGACAATTTATGACCCTTTGAATAGGATAGGAGTTCAGAATTGCTTCCCTGCACCCCATTATTAACGATGACTTTGGAGTAGGTCATCTACAAAGGTACAGAATATTATGAGTCAAGTTACATAATGAATATTTACAAACAAAATCTACACTGTCAGTTTTCAGGCATTTGTTTGCAATGGTTCTACTGACACTCGGCACATTCTTTGGTTGGTCGCCCGAAGAATGAGCGTATCTGTAACACTGTTGAACTCCCGATTGACAGTCAAAAAGCCACACGGTTGTCTGAGGTTAGTTGCACATTATTTCCCCCACTGGAAACAAGCAGCGTCACAAAAAGGGAAACTGAACTTATGCATCTACTGGCAGTCATTTCCCCTTGTTTTGGCCAGTGCACTTGCACATGGCCCATGCAGATTCCTCTGTCCTGCCCTCAGAGCCATAGAACATGGAAAGGGCATTCTTCACATTTTTTCTCATCCTGATTGGGCAATCTGGGGAAATTTCCCTTAGGTTTTCTGAGTTGCATATAAAACCATGCACTGATTTCCTTCCACTAGCCACACACAAAAGGTGACGTACTTCACAGAACTTTGAAGGGCTTCAAGATAAAATAATGAGCATGTACAGGTAAGTGCTCATTACTTTTGGAGGCATTGGGAAATCAGTTGAATGCAACTTTGTGGAGATGGCTGGAATATAGTATGATTGCGGGGGAGGGCGGGTCTGATGAAATATTCAGCAGGTTGGCGAGAACCCTGGAGCCCTTATTTGCTGCTTCAAGATTTTCACTAACCCAGTTGTTTTAGGGTGAATGGCTTCTTGCAACTATTTAGCAACTATTAAATAAGTACTATGAGAAGCATGCTATAGCCTTCCGGGAACTATGTTTGGGGTACAAATCTTAAAATTCTAAAATCCTGTGTAAGTATAAATTCTGACTTAAGCCAAAGAATGGTAGATTTTGCTAATAGTTTTCTGCATGTAGGGCATTAGACATTTTCAGCGTTGGATAGAATTATTTGTTTTTATCAATTGTCAAAAACCCCCTGAGAGGTGGTGCATCTTTCCAATTGTAGTTTGAACTGGATTGATTGATTGAAAAATGCACAGGAAAAATAGACAGCAAGTTTACTATTGCAAGTCAAAATTTAGTCTTTCAGTTTACTGGCTGCCTGATTCACCGATCAAAGTCATCTCTGAAGCTAAGAAATTGCATTGAAATTGTGAATGTAAATTAGGATCATGTAAGTAATGCCATGCATATGACTGAGGGACTAAAATGTATATATATTATCCAAAGTCAGTGTAATTCCAGTTGCACAGCTGCATGAGATTTGCACACAAATTTTTCACTCAAGTGCTTCTTTGCTAGCCTTTTTCTATACTATTGAAACTATAATTCATTTTATTCCTGAACATCTAGAAGACATTTTTCTCAGCCATTGCATTTCTATGATTCCCCTCATGTTGTCCCAGTTTTGTTTTAAGGGATCATATCCTTGACTTAAATAGGTATTTATAAATATCTATATTCCACCTTTCCATGTATCACATCTAAGGTGGCTTTTGGAGGGAAGCAACTGTAACATTATTAACTCGCCTGAGACAGGTTGTGAATGTATATAATTTGCAGCTATAATTCTTTTAAAAAGAGTAGCAGTGAAACTATACTAGCTGTACTTTCCATGTCCTGAGACTTCTGCCTGCATAGCTACACAATGAGCTAGCATGCAGAGTCACCTTTGCTAAGCTGGAAAGGTGCAGGCATGCAGCTGGATGGGTGACCACAAATGGAAGAGGAGCAGGGGCTTGAACTCAGTGGCTTCATATGCCCTTGCAACTCTAATCCTATTCGATCCCACCCCACCCCACCCCAGACTCATTTCAGGGGCTGGGAAAGCCATGTTGGTTCCATGGACACTCAGTGTGTGCTGAGGCAATTACACAATTACGTGTCTGAAGGAAAAGAATCAAGGGTGGCGCTGGTGGGAGATGGGATGGCTGCCAGACGATTAGATGCACACCTGATCGTGTGCAGTCCTTCCTGAGCAGAAACAGCGGAAGGCTCAGTTCGTCTCAGGAAAGCATTTTAGAGCTTTATTTATATTTCCGTTGGTGCTGTATGTTGTAAGGAGCAACATGCAAGAACAACTTGTAAGGAACAATTTAAAGGAACAACAACAGCCAGCCACTCACGTTAGCTGAATTTCAGTAGGTAACTACTGTAACAAATCATGTAGTTCTGGCTTTATTTTGTGTATTAAACAACTCATAAATAACAAGCACTAATAATAAAAAGTAGCCACTAAAGTCTGTATGGAGATAACCATGCAATCTTCTCTGGTCTGTACTGCTGATTTCTTCTGCAGTACAAGCAACTGAGCCTGCATAAATGAAGACGGCTTGGGGGTAGAGGCAGCTACCCCGGTACATGGCCTGTGAGGTGTAAGGGAACAGCTCATGCTCAATGGGGTCTGTCCTGCGATGTCACCATTGTGGTTCCTGGGCCCTGGCAGCCACACGTGAGCTGCTACAGCTTTCACATTATCCCACGCAGCTGCCCACCATGCAGGTGAGGTACCCGGAGCCCTGGCATCATACCCAGCATCAGCCTACTCCACACATGCACAAATTGTGTGAATCACAGTTGAACGCATGAACTTGACTCCCATGAAGGACATATGGCTGAAGGTGAAGAGAAGGTTTCCTGCCTGTAGGGTTTGATCTTTAGGCTGCAGTCAGCAAAGCCACAAAGATCCATGTACGAGCTGGCCTGTTGCCCCTCTGTCTCCCATTCCCCCCATCAGTGTGGTGCAGAGCTGAAGGTCTGGGGTCAGCACTCGGTACCCATGCAAGCCAGCAGGGCTGATGCCCATCCTGCCTGTGACACCAGGCCCCTGGGGCCCAACCTGGCATGCCTATCTCTAGCCACCAACATTTGGGGTTCCCAACAGTACTCCAGCCATGGAGACCCCAGGAAATCATCACATTCCCCCCAGGTATGCTGACCTGTAGTGGTACTTTAGGGTGCTGGCCAGTACCAGGTGGCCACTATTGGATCTCTCCCATTGATGCATTGATACTGATGCTGTGCTCAAAATCAGGCATCACTTTTGAGATAGAAGATGCTGGGGGTTCTATCTCTTCTATCTCACTTTTGAGATAGAAGATTGGGTTCTAATGGAACTGTTTGCTGCCTGGACCAAATGAGGCTAAAGCTGGTGGCTGTTCTGTGTTTTTTCTGATGAATAAACTAAGTTTTCCTTTCTAAGTTCTGTGTATGTTTGTGTGAATGCAAAACCAGGGCCTGCTCTTTCTGGTTGGGTGTGTTAATAGTTCCCAAACCCTTTGAGACAATCTGGAGGGCAAGCACTTCCTTTTGAGGTCTGTTGCTCCCCAAGATTCCTAGGCATGGCACTGTGAACTGGTTGACCTGGACTGATCTTTCTGAAATTCTTTTTGCTAGATAGATTTGCCTACGAATCAGAGATCCAAATGACCCAGTTCAAGCCCTTCTTGACAGATCTATGGAGAAGGTTCAGATAGTGCACTGGGTACAGCTTGGTCAGCAGAAAAGTGAAGTGCACACATCCATCATTTGATTTCGGTTCTGGCTTATATCCTGTTTTGGACCACTCATGAACTTGAACTTATAGCAAGCAGATGACTGACTAATGAATAGAACATAGTTTGTCTGTGCTGAGATGCCTCAATGTTAGGTAACCACGAATCTCTTTCATGCACCCTTTAACAGGTTCTTTCTTGCAGAGTTGAGGAAACAGCAGTTACTGTATGTAGCAACTGAAAGAAGTATTTGCTTGAGCAAGAAATGCTGATCATTTAATTTGCTGCAAGTCTACTTTTAGAGGAGTAGACCCTGATCTTATTTGCCTTTCCACAAACATACCTTTAATCAGTACATGATCTAAGAAAAGCTTTGGGGTTATTTATTATAATTGCTAGAACAACTCTGACTACATGAGTGATAAGATCTTGTACACTGACAAGTTTAAAAGCCAGTGTTTTGGAAATCTTTGAACAGCAAGACTATATACATCTGGCTATAGGTCAATTGAATTCAGGGCTTTAAGATCCAACATGAATATATATATAATGCTGGAATCTGTGTTCAAATTCAGACTCCTTTATTTGTCTTCATCAAATAGAACCCAGCAGATTGTGGTTCTCCATGTTGAGAAGACTTGGAACATTCAGTGCCTTAGTGTTGTATCAGAATAACTGACCAATGCAGATTTATAACTTGACCCATGCAACTTGCCTCTCAGGGTAGATGGGTAGATGTGTTCCTCCAGATGTTCTGACCAACTCCCATGTTGCCTCAGCTGGCAACTTTGTTTAGCTGGTTTCGAGAATGAGGACCAATCTTCCACAGCACAGGCAGTGGGAGGGCGTGGCAGAGAAAGCGAACCCTCTGTTCGAATAATCTCATAGGCTGGCTTACATGTCTGCCTTCCACCAGTACCACGCCACTGTCTGTTCCCTGGCTCAGTAGACTTGCGACAAAGCCAGATCAAGGCCCAAAGGTAGGTGGTACTGCATACATAATTCTGCACCCCTAAGAGTGACACTGTCTTGTTCTTGTGTGTGGCATATTTGTCAAATGTTTGGTTGCTGTTAATTTAGAAGACATCTGTTATATCCTATGACACTACTTCTCCTTTCCAGGTTGCAGGGTGTCATCCATCATTTTTCTCTTTCCTGGTTTCTGTGCTACTTGGTGCCTGAACTCCTGTATATTTTCAGCATTAATGTATTGGATACATCTGCCTTCAGAATCCAGAGAGCAGGAAGTACAGGTGAAAAGTACAAATAACTTGGCCAAAACTTGAGTCCAAACATGTTAGTTTTCTTTCTTTTTGTTTCTTGTGCCTTCTTATTTTTAATACAGGTATTTCTGTTTTTATGTAGACAACTGCCGAGATCACACCCTGCATTTCAGGCCTACTTTTTTACTGACAGGAGAACCCGTGGTCCTAAAATGTCCTCTGCTCAGATATGGACAAACAAATGGCTTTGATCCGCAGCTTAACATTACCTGGGCCAAAAATGGCTCAGCAGCATTTATCCCGACAGGATACAGAGGAGCAAGAATATTCTCACAAGATGAAGCTCTCTGGTTTTTACCAGTTTCTCTTGAGGACTCTGGGGTATATATCTGTACACTCAGGTAGGCATCTCTTAAATATATAAATAAATAAATTATTGAATTATCTTATAATTTTTAAAAGATAGACATCCATTGAAGGAAATATGACTGATTTTCTGCATATGTCTCAGAAAAACTATTGATTTCAGTGATTGTATTATTACGTCACCTTTCTGAAACCAGCCAACACAGTTTACAGAAAGTTCAGAAATTTAAAACCCTAATCAGATTAAAAACATAGTGAAACATTGAACACAACTATAGAAATCATAGCAATAATTTAACAAGCCAAATGAAAAAGACCCTTTGATTTTCTGGCAATGGGTTTGGTTCGACAGATCTGAGCTACTGTTTTGCCAAGTACTACCAAAGGAGTAGGGTCTTGGGAGGTAAGTCAGTTTATAAAGTAGAAATGAAATATATCTACCCCTTTGCTGAACTGTTTCTGAGGCTCTCCTTACCCACCCACTTCAGATCAACTGATCTTTGACTCCTGTATGCAGAGACCAATAGTCAAGCTACAATGCTACATTAAAAACTAAACATCTCAGTCTATCTGTTGGCTGTGTTGTGTTTTGTTTTTACTCAGAAGGAAGCAAAGGGGTACAGTCTGCAGCACACTGAAAGGAGAGCCTCCTTCTTTCCCTAGCTGTGGACAAACCCCAAATTCCACTACAACCCACATCACTGTTAGTGATAGTAAAAGCCATGAGAACGCTTTCCCTGTTTCTAAGTGCTCCTTCAGAGGAAGCATCAGACCTCCTCACCAGTATGTCGTGGTTCTAACTCAACAACAGCAACAGATGAGAGAGACCCTATTATATCCTTCCCCAGCCTGGACCCTGCAGATGCTGGCTGGGCATTTTGGTAGCTGAAGTACAACACATCTGGAGGGCACCAAGTTGGGGAAAGTTGCTCCATAGCTTGTGTCGAACAGGGCATCCCCCATCACCTCTTCTCTCCTGTGGTCCCCCTGCCTCATTTGTCTATCCATCCCTCCAGAGTGCACCTCGGGCATAAGAAGGGGCTGCAGGGATGGAGAAGGTCCATTCCATTCCATCCCATCTGCAGTTTCTTTTCTGCTGGCAAAACGGTTCAATTGGATCCAAGTCAGGAAGTGGGTCCACAAAGCATCTTAACCCTCCTGGGAGTTTTACCCAAGCACTGTGGGTAAAATTCCCCTGAACCCATCAGGCAGAGCAGGGGGTTGTGTCCTTCTTCCCCCTCTCCTGGGGCTGTTGGGCTGTTGTCACTCTGTTTAATGCACTGTGTGGTTGGACCGTGAGGTCAGTTCCTGGGTTTCCAGTGTGGTTTGATTCCCAAGGCAGGCTTTATGTCAGATTGTAAGCATCATGTTTGAATGGATGAAGGATGCTGGCTCATGAAGCCACTTCCTATCCAGCATCAGAAACAGTCTCTAGAGTAGCTAAGAGCAGAAGTACATACATGCACAGAGCACATCTCCTTTCTGTGATCCTGTAATGAACTAAATGTCTTCAAAAGGCCCTTCACTTGCGCTAAACTTGCACAATGAATGACATACAAGACTCCTGTTCAGAACTGAGGCAGCTTCGATCAGTGGTGGCGAAAATGGAGCCAGTCTCCTTGGGGAAGTTGTGGGCTCTCTGTTGTTACAGACATTCAGAAAGTGTCTGGACAGTCATCTGAGTGGAATGGTGAAATTCAGTGTCCTGTACTCAGCAGGGGGCTGGACCCCATGGCCTTCTGGTCCCTTCCACATTGCCGATTCTATGAAACATGAACGATATTGTTGTGGCAGAAATGTGAATGAAATTTTAGGTGGAAAAAGTCAGATTGTTGAGCTCAGTTTCAAAATAACCTTATGCTTATTAATCCCATGGAAAAAGCTATAACGAGAACTACCTGTTAATTCATGCAAGTCATGCTAGAGCAGAAATGAGCACTTTGGACCTAGTTTTCAGTACTCAGACAACTATAACAACACAACATGTGCTAGCTATTCAGTGGTTAGTTCCTCTCCCCAAGGAAACCTGGAAACTGTAGCCTAGTCGAGGCTGCTGAGGACAGAACATTTTCAGCATTCTTACCAAAATCCAGAATTCACCAGGGTTCTTTGGGGGAAGCCATGAAAGTTCAGTTCAACTAAGATATAGTAACAGTGTAGAGAAGTATTTTCAGGTATACATTAATGAATGTCTCTTATTTTCAAGGGCAATATTTCTTAGACTGCAACCCTTTACATACTTACCTGGGAAAATGTTTTTTACTGAACTCTTTTGGGTTTATTTGACTTTCAAAAGCTTTTGACAAAGTCCCACACCAAAGATTCTTGCACAAACTTACTGGCAATTGAATAAGAAGAGAGCTCTTTTTATGGATCTGTAATTGGTTTATGAAGAGAAAGCAGAGAGTAGGAATAAATGGTAAATTATTCCTCTAGAAGGCTGTAGGCAACAGGGTCTCATAGGGGTTTCTGTTGGGACCAATGTTGTTTGACCTATTCATAGATTGTCTGGAATTAGGAATGAACAGTGAAGGGGCCAAATTATTCACAAAAACTGATTGTGAGGAGCTCCAGAATAATCTCTGCACCCTGGAAAAATAGGCATCCAATTAGCAAATGTAGTTCAGTGCACACAAGACCCAAGTGATAAAAGTGGGGGAAGACAATCCCAAGTTCAAGTATATGCTGAGGGGATCTGAGCAGTTGGTGACTGACCAAGGAAGGGGTCTTCAGGCTATGGTGGACACCTCCATGGAAATGTCAGCCTGGTCATGCAGCTGCTGTGGTAAAGGTGCACTCTGTTAACACTCTTTCTGGCATTTTTAAAATCTGGGGCTTCTCTAAACTTACATCAGGCAAGAGGCTCTAGTATTCAATTCTGTATTTTCTGTAACTGGAGTGCTTTTCCCCCTCTCCCTTTTTTTGCTCAGCAAAATATTTTAACTGACTGGGAGTACTTCTAGACAGCATTGCTAGCACTAGTACTCCAGAAGCATTGTGCAGAATTCCTTCTTTTGTTCCTTAGTAAGTTTTCTGTTGTAAAGCAAAATGTAGAATACACTTCAGGAAAACCTGGGAGGCTTACAAGTGGAAGGCAACTTCATCTGGAGCCCAGAGAAAGCTTTGCCAACAAAGAAGGAAAATGGTGCATTAAAAGCCTGGTCTAGAAGCATGCAGGCTTTTCTGCACTACCTGCATTGTACTAGATGCAAACTTAATCACATGTTGCATAGAAATCAATGGTAGGGTTGGGTTGAAACTCAGCAGAATCCATCCGCCATGCACCTGCAGATCTTCCTCTTATGTTTGGCCCAGTTGTGGAAAGAGAGCTGAGCTGAGCTGAGAGGAAGCCTGTGAATGCTCATGGAGCAAAGATAGCACAACTGGCCATCTTCTTCTGTATCAGGTGCAGCATCATTGGCAAAAGTCGCTGCAGGTGGTGTAGAAGTGGGATGCTCCCGGGGCCTCCATTCTTGGCAAGTGCTGCACAAATGTTGGGCATTCCTGCAGGAACTCAGCCTGGGGGCCATGACAAAGTAGAGTCTGGCAGCCGAGCCCAGGGGATCCAGTGGATCCCTGCCCCCAAAATGGATCCTTCACACATCCCTAGTCTTAAGATTCCAGTGGGTTCACTCCAAGTGTAAGTAATTAGAATGAATTGAAACCATTGAGTTGTGTCCATTGGTGGCTCGTTCTTTGCAGAAAGGGTTTCTACTTGCATACTTTGGGTCCCTGATTTTTAATGTCCCTCAGTATTTGCAGCAGCCTTCTATGCCGTATCCCATTCTTTTCTCAGGCCTTCAGCCCAGGAAGCAGCTGTTGTGGAGAAAAAGACACAGAACGTAAATTAGCACAGTATGTTCCCCAAAGAGCCTTTCTAAGCATGGCGCTTATTGTGTACATGCGATTCCTTACTCAGAGTTGTTCATTGATTCTTTAGGTGACTTGATCATCCAGTTTCACATCCTCCAGTTTTTTTTTTTTTTGAGAGCACGTTGTCAAGCTACTTTAGAATGAGGAAAATGCAGTATTTCTGAAAAGAGATTTTCCTGTTTGTGGAATTGTGAGGATCTGCTATAGCACATTGCCTCCTAGAGGTTATGCAGCAGAAAAGCAGAAGAGGAAAATTCATATGTGCAGAGCTTGGATTTCAATTCTTCAGTGAAAGAGCAAGTGGATAGAGCAAATTTACAGCTTTGGGCAGAACATCTGAAAGACAAAGCTACAACTGGACATGACCAATGAGTAACTTACAGTCAAATGTCTAATATTCCTATTTAATTTGATTTAAGATAGTTAATAGGAATAACAAAAAGGAAAATGGTTGAAGTGAACACTTTCCCCTTTTTTATGTGAATGCTCCCTCAACCCATTTCCTTCTCTGCCTGCAGGAATTCGTCTTACTGTTCCGATGTGGCTATTCATCTGCAAGTGGTTGATAAAAGTTTTGTCCACGCTCTTTCCTATCCTCAAAAGGCCTTCATATCCAGTCCTGGGAAGCTGGTTTGTCCCAACCTGGAGAGTTTTATACAAAAGGATACAGGCTATGCACTCAGGTGGTACAAGGTATGAATGATTACTAATTTATTGCTGGCTTTGGAGCAGAAGCAGTCAGTTGTGAGCAGCCTGAACATGGGGGAAGAACAGCAGTACCCCTCAAATGGTGATTTCTGATATTCATACAACAGCACAGAGGCTGGGAACAACAGACTCTCCAGCAGTTGTTGGATTCCAATCCCCATCCTCCTTGACCACTGGCAGTAGCTGAAGAAAGCCAAGTAGTTTCCTCAGATCTGATATAGCACTACAGCCAAAACAACATTGCTTATGTTCTTCTCTATCCAACCAGTGAAAGCATCTGGCTTCTCACAGGCTGTAAGCTTCAAGAAAAGTTACACAGCTATCAGAGCTAAACACTTTGGAACTACTCTGGTTGTGTGAAGCCATGCCTACAGGAACCCTAGTCTATTCACTTTATTTTCCTGGGGAAGTGAGGCTGCCCCAGAGCAGGGGCAAGGGAGTAGATTTATAGCATTGTCCTTTGGACAACAAACCCACCAGGGGTTCAAACTGGAGAGGAAAGTGATGTTAAGTTGAGCCAGCCTGCCCTGAAGATGTCCTGTAGGCTGCCATCACAAGCATGCATTAACATTAATGACAATTAATTAATGTGTTCTAGAAGCAAAATAATTCCTGGGTCCCTCTCAGTGTACGGGCCAAATTTCAGGTGCCTAGGTTTTATAATCTTAGTGGTATGGGGCTGATGGAGAGACAGACACCCATTTGATTATTTTAGCTTGGAATTTTTGAAATTACAGTTTACATAATATCCTGGTGTCTTCTGAAGAAGGAGGTAGCATAAAACTACCATACACAATAAATATGTTATTGTGGTGACTTAAGTTTGGGAGTTTCTGTATTTCAAGCCCTGAGCTTCAGTGGAGTGGAAAGAGGCCAGTTCCGCATCATGGTGGCTCCGAGAAGTTCCATTCTGTTCATGGATCCATAGCCATGGATCAAGGAAGAATTCTCGGTAGTACAAGGACCAAGGACAACAAAGCAAGCCTGATTCAATATTCCATGCTTGCTTGCTGACTTGTTTATTTTTAATTCTTTTTAGGACTCAACCCCTCTGGATATAGACAATAAAAAGTTTATCACTTTGAAAAACACACATTATCTCATGATCAGTTCTGTATCATTGGATGATTTGGGCTACTATACTTGTCTAATGACCTTTGAGCATGAAAAGACAACATATAACATCACCAGGATCATTCAGCTGCAAGCCTTTGGTAATAACCCATGTTGCACTATTTGAGTGACGGATGCCTGTCTATTAACAGTACAGTGTTTACTTTGCTTTCTTTTTCCTTTAAAGACAACTTCTGTATGCAGGTAACTTGAGATTCCCACCAGGATAAATATATGCAAAATGTGCACATTGTTATAAAAGGTGGCATACAAAATGGTGCAGGTTATGACTACTGGAAGGGACCTTTGCTTAGTGGCAGATATGAAGCTTTGCAAAGGTCCCAAGTTCAACCAAGGGCAAGACATGACTCCTCTCTGAAACTTGAGAAATACTCTCAGTCAGCATGTGGAGCTAGATGAATCAATGGCTTGACTTGGCTTGAGGTAGCTTTCCATGTTAATTTTGCCGGATTGTGGTTGGCTGGGTGACAGGACACCCAAGTGCTCCCATCAGGACTACTGGAAACTTCCCCCGATCTGGCTCCACATTCCACTAGTAAGAGCTCACCAGTCACAGGACCAGAAGCTTGACATATCCAAAAGGAACAGAGAGGTGCAGAATGCAGAACTGTGGGTCATTTACTAAATCCTGAGATGTTGTTGAGCAACGGCAGCTGAGAGGGTCATGCACACTGCTTCCTGTAAACAGCTTCCCTAGAAAGCATTCTGGCTGCTAATTGTGACCAGTAACTCCTTACTGTCTTGGTTTCTCATCATCACACTTGTCAACCTCTGAAGCTATGAGGCTGCCAAGCACAACATTCCAGCTACCTGCTTTTGAGGGCAGCCTGAAGCAGAGAACTATGATCAGTGTGCTAGTGTCAATGACTGCTTTGGGAAATGCCAGCCCTTGTGGCCAGTGGAACAGCTGTGTTTTCAAACCCTCTGGCTACAAAGTGGAATAATCCTGTACGATGCCTGCATTGAAGCATCCTCAGACAGCTTGGTAGATTTCATATTAAATTAGTGCTAGACAAGGAAAGCAGGCACAGATTCTACTTCACTTACTTTCTTTAAACTGCATAAAAACAGCTGTGTCCACTGCACTGACAAACAATCACGGCTGTTAATTTGCTGCTCAGTACACATGCTGGACAGCAGATGGCGGTAGTGTGTTTAATCCCATTTCAGATTCATTGTAACAGGAACAGCATTATAAAAACCCGTTTGGACCATTTGGGAACCTCTGAAAATTGCACAGAGGAAAAGAATGCCCAGGCTTGCTCCTCTTGTAATTTCAGAGGTGGAGGGGCAGCTAGCTTCACCTTTTAAAGGACTGCTGGGGTAGGGGATGAGAGTTGAAGATGTGTAGCACCAGGACTTTTCACAGATGAAAAGGAGCAAGTACAGGGTAACTTTGGATCAGCTTTTTGTAGTCTTAGCAGCCCGGCTGGCTGAAGACTACCAGTGGACGTTCTTGGGCTAGTGCAGTGTTTGGGAGATTTTGGGGCTGTTTCTATACCCCTCTGCTTTTCAGCAAGAGGTAGAGATCCCTTTCATACCCTTCTTCCTCCCTAGATGGTTCTAATACCCAGCTTGTCCTCTTTGCTAATGAAGGGAGCAATACATCAGGTACAATATACTCTGGTTAATCATATGCAATCAAAATCGAAACACTGAAGCAATTCACCATCACAATTTCCAGAGGCAGCCAGATTAGCCTGCTATAGCAGAAGCAATCTTGTGGCACTTTAAAGATCAATTAATTAGCTCTGTCTTGGGTCCACAGTAGGTTCTGACATAATAAATGAGTTAGTCTTTAAGGTGACACCAACCTCATTTTAAGTCACAGGCACATTATCGACTCACCCTGGAAGCCGCAGGGCAAATAGTTTGCTGTAGTCTGCATTGCCTTGCCAAGGAAGCTGCTAATATTCCACCACAGTTCTGTCCTTGAGCAGAAACATGGTGAAACAAGGCAGATGTAAAATTCTCCTCAACACTTGCCAGGGCAATATGCATGACTTGCTTACCAACTTGCTACATGCCTACAGCTGGTTAATTACCACTTCCAAAATCATTGGCTGCATTTACCCATTATTTTTGTGCTCTTAATGTTATAGATGTGCCAAGGTGATGAAAATAACATGTTTGATAGTCATCTTAATTTTTAGCTCTCTGTTGTTTCAGGTAGTTCATTTTTTTAGCCATACAGTTGTCATCTTGTTAACAGAGATTCACAGCACATTTCATTTTCTATCCCATGTTCACACATAGGCACAATCCATGCAAGGGAAGTCAAATGCTTTAAGTACTCATATTAGGCTCCTTCTGCCCATACCTCCTCCCTTCCTTTCTTGATCCAGACCTATTCATTCTGAACCTTGACTTGTGGTCCAGTAATGGCTTCCTACCATCCTTTCTCAGAGAACTCACATACAGTGGGTCTGCATTAAAAGATTAACCATGCACAATTATCTCTGAGACAATTAACCTTGTGCTTATAAATTATAAGCCCAGCTATGCCCCTAGATGGACAGGGATAGTCTGGCTTCAGTAATCTATGCTTTGATAATCATTAAATTAGATTACTGCAATGCGCTGCATGCAGGACTGTCCTTGAAGACAGCTCAGAAGCTGCAGATTGTGGCAGCCAGATTAATAACTGTGACCCACAGGTACCAACACAGAGAACTGGTTCCAGCTCTCTTGCACTGGCTGCCTGTACGTTTCCAGTCCCAATGCAAGGTGCTCTGTTTAACCTGTCAAGTTTTACATAGAACCACAATGCTTGTCAGAGAGTTCCTCCTGACCATGACGCTTGGGACACTGTGCTCAACCTTTAGGGCCTTCCTCCAAGTAGGGACTCTGAGGGAGTCTGCATGGAGGTGGCAAAAAGTGCGTGGGAGGCTTTCTTTGTGGAGGCCTCCTGATTGTGGAACAAGCTTTCCACTTTGGCCTGGCTAACACTGCTTGTCATCTTTTTGGAGCCAGGTTTTCTGAAGCCTTTAAAAACTTGCTTGCTCACCCAGGGGCTTGCAGGGGTTGCCTATTCCTGGTGTTCCCACAGATAGTTTATTATTGCCTTTTTTACGTAGCAGTTTAAACATTTTAATGTTTTCCGATTTTCTGGTTCTCTTTGCAATTTTATTCTCTGTTTGTATGGACAGTTATAAACTGCCCAGAAGGCTTTGGCTGTGGGGTAGTATAGAAATCAATCAACAAATAATAACTCTTGTACAAAATACCTTATACTCGGTATATGTTGGCAGTGTTTGGGGATGTATTTAGATTTTTTTTTAACCAACTGCCAGATTTACTTGTAAATATTGGCAGGAGATAAAATATACCTTTAAAAGATGTTATCATGACATGCTTATATGTTATATTTATATCTGGCCTTTCCTCCAAGTAGCACAAGATGGTGTAACAATATAATCCATCATGTTTAGTGTGGGCAGTGTCCAACAGACACGACTGATAACCTAAATCATCTCCCTCTAGCTAACGCTATTGGATCTGAGCTTGTGGAATGCAAGTTCCAATAGCAACCTGGCCCAATTGGATGTTGCCTCATAAACAGTTTTATCTTGATCCTTTATTTTAGCTTCCAAGAGCTCCATGAGTTAGGTAAGGGTGAGAGTGTGTGTCATTGTCTCACGGTCACACATTGCACAACTGGGTGCCATGTCAAGAGGCCGGCTGTTTGCAATGCCATTTGGTGTACTTTTTCAAGTAGTGTCAGACTGCATATTCCAGTGTGACTGTGAATTGTCAGTGATGCCTTATCCTCTTGAAGAGGTTGCCACTTTTCTTGTGAAATCTGAAATGTGTGTACCCTGAGACTAATGTATTGCTTCTGAAACTTAATGTAATTCTCTACAACATTCTTCCTGTGAATTCTCTGTAGGCCAAGAGAAGGAAACCGTCCCTGTGATTGTTTATCCGAACCAAAAGATTACATTAGCAGTTCTTGGTAAGGTCAAGAATTTATTCAACAGGGAGTTTTGGGAAGCGAAGTTCTGGTAATGATTAACTTGATGTACACTAAGTCTTTTTTTACATGGCGGGGATACAAAATTAGAATTCAATGTGAAAAACTGTTTGGTAAAACTCAGTTTCCATTTCTTGTACATGGCAGTAACTCTTGGGTTAGTTCCAATCGCAAATCCAGCTAATGACTGAGTTACTATTTTATGCAATAAGAGAATAGCCACAAGTAAGCTGTTTTTGCAGTAAGGGCAAAACCTGCGTTTAATTGTCATTCCACTCTTTGGTTCAATGGTGTTTCTTCCTTTCATGCCAAATAGTTATAATGGCTTCACAGCAGAGCAAAGGACTGGAAGGGAGAGATGTTCTAGTCTCTGTCAGCCATTTGGGCTGAAAATCAGCTCGACTTGAAGAATTCCTGGCCAGAAAGAGGCTTAGCAGTCGCCATGCTAGGCTGCAACTCACAGTCAAAGCTGCTTATCATCTCTTTCCCAAACTAGCACTTTCCAGCTGTTTTGGACTCTAACTCCCATCATCTTCAAGCAGCATGGTCAGTGGTTGGGGATGCTGGGAGTTGTAATCCAGAATATATGAATGGCAAGAGATTGGAGAAGATTGTGCTGGGAGAACACAATGAAGTTAAATTGGATAAGTGCCCTCTATGTGTAGTACAGAAAGGGCCAAATGTTCTATACCTTTGAAGTAGAAGGAGTGGGACCCAGTCATGGATATAGGAACCAGAAGATTTTTTGCATAGTTTTTATGTAAAAACTATTTTTGAACTGTAGGAATGTGTGCCTTCTGTGGACAAATGTACCCTACGAAAAAGGAGTTCACAAAAGTGATTAGCCAAGCTTTAACTGATTCTCCTAGCCACATCTGCTGCTGCTACATAAGTCATCCATTTGTGGCCCATTGACTTTGAAGACTTAAGCAGCTCTCTGTATTCCACTTTATGCTTACAACTCCAGTTCTTTTGCACTGTACTTCAGGAAGCAATGTACAGGGTGAAGGCAGGTGTACGTATGTAGTGGAAGCACCTGGAGCATGAACTTGGTGCCCCAGCATCAAATGCAGCAAAGGGATGCTAAGACTGCCTCCACCAGATTTAAAACATTATGTCCATCTTCACCTTAAGTCGTTTTGGATCAGTTTAGAAGGTATCACTTCTCTTACCTGTGTGGAAAAGCATGGACAGTATTTGTGTTACAAGAAACTGATATACACCATCAAGAATCACACAGATGGTAAAGAAATGGCTCTCGCTGTCCTGTCTATGTTTCTAGACAAAATGAGTTCTGTTTCAGAGCAAGTAATAAATATACTTAGTTCCACAGGGTTGGGATAACAGTTATTGAAATACATTCTTACTGGTTCCTTAACCCAGGAAGATAGTAATATATGATTTCTTGAGCATGATTATCTTTTTTGCTCAGACTTTTTTTGGCTGTCACTTTTTACCTCTCAGGAAGCAGAAGAAATCAAACCAAATTTTGGTTCTCCCTTATCACTTGAGCTATGTGATTTATGAACAAATCGCCACATATAGAAGACCCTAAAAGGAATTTACACATGCACCAGTGAGACTGGGATTTTGAACAATAGTCTAGCACAGGCCGGCCACCTACACATTGCCAAAAACAGAGAGAAAACTTAGCCAAAAAGAAGAGAAAGGATGGCAGAGGTTTTCATAAAAGTTGCACATGCTAATGTACCTGTTGTTGTTGTTAGTCGCGAAGTCATGTCCAACCCATCGTGACCCCATGGACAACATTCCTCCAGGCCTTCCTGTCCTCCACCATTCCCCGGAGTCCACTTAAGCTCACACCAACTGCTTCAGTGAGTCCATCTAGCCACCTCATCCTCTGCCGTCCCCTTCTTCTTTTGACATCTATTGTTCCCAGCATTAGGCTCTTCTCTAGGGAGTCCTTCCTTCTCATTAGGTGGCCAAAGTATTTGAGTTTCATCTTCAGGATCTGGCCTTCTAAAGAGCAGTCAGGGTTGATCTTCTCTAGGATTGACTGGTTTGATCGCCTTGCAGTCCAAGGGACTTGCAGGAGTTTCCTCTAGCACCACAATTCAAAGGCCTCAATCCTTTGGCGCTCAGCCTTCCTTATGGTCCAGCTTTCACAGCCATACCTTGCAACAGGGAAAACCATAGCCTTGACTATATGCACTTTTGTCGGCAGGGTGATGTCTCTGCTTTTAGACATCTAGGTTTGCCATAGCTTTCCTCCCCAGCGGCAAGTGTTTTTTAATTCCTTGGCTGCAGTCCCTATCTGCAGTGATCTTGGAGTCCGGGAAAATAAAATCTGTCACTACCTGCATTTCTTCCCCATCTATTTGCCAGGAAGTGAGAGGACAGGATGCCATGATCTTAGTTTTCTTAATGTTGAGTTTCAAGCCAACTTTTGTGCTCTCCTCCTTCACCTGCATTAAGCGGCTCTTTAGTTCCTCTTCACTTTCTGCCATTAGAGTGGTATCATCTGCATATCTGAGGTTGTTGATATTTCTCCAATCTTAATTCCAAGTGGTGATTCATCTAGCCCCGCCTTTCTCATGATGTGCTCTGCATATTATACTTTCAATACTAATTACTGCAATTGGAAAGAGAATAGGGAGGATGAAGCTCTGATTCCCACCTTCAGGCTTGGAGGGATGCTAATATGGACTCTCCTTTGAGAACTGGCCAATGTAAATCCCACAAATCTTGAACCACCTGACATTAGTAAAGCAGAATAGTGTGGCCACACTTGGTGTCTCTTGGTTCTAGCAATCTATCTTCTGCCAAGGAAGCTCCAGTTTCTTCATTCACAAGCTGGAAGACTTAGATATGGATTTGGGTATGGTGAGCATGGCCATAAAAACAAGAATAGAGCTAGTAGAATTAGCTGCCACCAGTGCAGAAAGACAGAGCAAGATGAACAAAACCTGGGTTCCTTGTGCCACACAGGACTTTTTCTCTTTCCCCTTATCCTCTATTTGGATCAGCATCCCCATCTTTTCCTTGCCTGAGAACTCCCCTTTAGCAAAAGATCAAGTATTCTGAAACCAGACCTACACACTTGTTTCAGTGGAGGAAAAGGTGCTGAGGAGATAGCATTGTCAACATATTTGCTCAAAGGACAGGCATGGGACCATTTGATGTCTCTGGCATAGCTAAATATTCTTTGATTTCATCTTGGCTTTTCCATGGAAGGAACTCTTTGTATCTGATGTCCTTTTAAGAGACCTGTGTTTGTGAGTGAGATGAGGCTGCTGTCATAAAAGATTAAACTGCAGCAGTAAAACATTACCAAACACAAAGCATCACACTGACTAACCTTTCTGGATGATCAGAATGCAAGTCTGATTCATGGAGGATGTGGTTAAACCAAAGGGAGGAGGTATTCAGCTAAATAATTTTGGCTCTATTCCTTTAATTCTGTAAGGAGTGAGTAGGCATTACACAACTAAAGAAGCTGTACAAAATGGCATACTGAATGTTCCTGGCTATCTCTTACAATTTTTCATATTGAATAGTTTGGCTGAACAAGCAAGCACTTTAAATTGTAAGACATACCTTGGAAACTAGCCAATCTGTGTTTGTCCTAAGTCAGTTTCCCATGACCCAGCATCTTCCAGATGTATTGGACTATAACCCAACAAGTGTCATCATTGAACTTGTGTGTTGTTCAGCAACATCTGTCCAGCATCCAAGGGGCTGAGGCACTTTAGAGATCCTGTGATGTCTTTGATTCTCTTCAGGAGCGTAAATCCTGAAGTTTTCTCTCCACAGCTCCTCTGAATTTGCATTATAGGTCAGCAGGGGATGGAAGGAAAAGAACAGCTCAGATTCTTTGTGTCCTAGTCACTCCACTCTCTCTGTACCCCCTTTACTCTTCTGTGTGGCTTTCCTGGTTTTGAAACACTGCTGGAATAGTCCTTTGTGTGCCCACTGGGAAGTGGGAAGGGAGGTTGAAGGCCTGATTCCCTCCTTCAAGGACACCAGTTGAAAACTGGCAAAAGTAGACTTCACAAATCCTTAACTGCCCAGAATCAAGTAGGATTTCTTCAGTGTAAGCTGTGTGAGAACCACCTCTTTAACAACTTATTTGAAAGCAGTTCAACCACCTCTCTGGAAAGAATTAACTGCTCATTGAGTTCAGCTTCTCACACATGCCATTGCCAAGCTAACAGAACAAAACACATGAAATAAAAGCAAAATACCCAGCTGAATTTGTTAAAAAATGCCACCAAGAATAGTTGTACTGATCCATAAAGGAAAAGAAAATGGATCTAAAACATGGACTAAGGAGGTTGTGAGATTGTGGCTAGTTCCAATAAAGCTATTGCCCAATTGTGGATTTTACTGAATTAAAGTTACTCCATGACTCTTTAATTCTGGGTGTTGAATGCCAGTTCAAGGGAGAATTGCTTTCTTCTAGTTGCTTCTAGAAACTTCTTAAGAATAAAGGAAAGGTACCATTCTTTACTGTGCAACATGCTCTTTAGATTGCGTTTTGTATGTGTGTTTACTTTTTTTATTTCCTTTTCCATTTAGGCTCTCGCTTGACCATCCCATGTAAAGTGTACGTTGGTGAAAATGATCATTCTTTTACAGATGTCTGGTGGCTAGTTAATAACAGTTACGTTGATAAGACTTATCACAAAGGGAGAATTTACGAAGGAAAAGCTCAGTAAGTACTATCGAATGCCATGTTATTTCCCCTACTCCCAGTTGCTTTCTTTGGAAGCATACTAAAAGCCATCAACTTCAGACTTCTCTCCTATTAAGTATGTGTTCCCTTTACTTAAGTGAGGCATGGGACCAAAGCCCAGTGGAAAGATTGAGGAAAATGCGGAATGTCCATAACACCTTGCTAAGTACTATACTTAGGACAACACACACACAGAGTCTCTCAGGATGGGAATCCGCCCTACATGGAGCCAAAGTAGAAATGATGGCAGCAGAGCCGTTTGTCTGAGCATATCATTGCCTCCAGTCTGGGGTCGAAGGGGGAGCTGAGGCTGGCTGCTAGAGGGAAACGGTTGGCTGGTACCTCCCTTAGCCTCTGCCTCCAACCTGCTCTCAAAAAGCAGACCCACTTCTGCAATTAAAGGTTAGGTGAGGAAACAAATGTCAAGGGAGGTGAGGTAAGCCAGGATCATCTCATGAAGCTGAATGGTGGGAAATTCATGATATTTGTTTTAAGTATTCTTCACAAAGCGCATAACTAAACCATATAATTTGCTACCACAAGATGTACTGATGTTCAGCAATTTGGATGGGTTTAAAAGAGGATGAGAGAAATCATGGAACATGTGTATTAATGCATACTGTATTCATGTCCTGCTTACTATGGACAAGTAGTCTTTTGAGCTGATCCATCCTGCATAGATGGAGGTTCTTAGGGTTTAGCAAGTTCATACAAAACTAGCCTTCACCAAGGCCCATCATCCTTAGACTACAATCAATATTAAAAATTACTTATAGCATGTTGAGCATTGCATTTGTTGCAATGCTATCTACATGGCTTCTGGTCCTTGGTCTCATTTGAGTATATGGTCAAATGCTAACCACATGAAGTAAGCCCCATTAAGTTCAATGGTGCCTAGGCTACTAATATTGTGGGTCATATGTTGCTTTTTTCCCTTCCTTTGTTTTACTTTATTGCATTGCACTATATGAAGTTCAGAATGCTGTTGTGGAATATTATCAAGTCTTTTTCTCCACTTTTAGTGTTATTCTCTCAACAGCCTTGGAAAGTAGATTATGTAGAACAAGAGTGACTACCCCAAACTCACCCAGTAAGCTTCATGCCAGAATGGGAATTGGCACCTGTATCTACCTGGTTTTTATCGGACCCTGTAACCGCTTCATATGTTTTATTGCTGACTTCCTGTCAAGTCCGTATCTACAGTTCAAACACAAAATATTAACAAATGCAGATTGGTTTGCTGCAGGGAAATCAATCTGCTCCCATGTGGTGTAAAACTGTTTGGACATAAGTGAATTTCCTTTCCCACCCCCGGATCACACAGTGCCAAATGGATAATCTAAATGTGTAGGAGTTACAGTGTTCTGGAATTGTCATCCCTTAGATATGTGTGAGCCTACTAAGAGCTGTTTCTCATCTTAGGAAACTTGTGGAAAACGATGACATTTACATTGAGGTGCCGCTGATTTTTGACCCTGTCAAAGAAGAAGATTTCAATACAGACTTTACGTGTGTTGCCCAGAATAGTCGTGGCCACCAAATACATGCAACGCAAGTCAAGCAAGAAGGTACCTTGTGTGTCATGAATAGGGTAGTTGGGCCACTTGCTACGATGTGGCTTACCTCAGGGAATGCTATTGGCATTGATAATGAAAGGTTTATTGTAAATAATGCGTATAAGAGAACTGCAGAAAGGAGTATTTGGGGCATCATTTCCCTCCAATAGTTCCACAAGGTAGCCCATTATCTGTACTGCACGAGTCCTTCCAGCTACCTTGTGAGGGTAACCAAGAATATCCCCATTTTCCAAATGGGCAGTTCAGACCAAATAACAGACTGGGTTAATTCACCAATTGATTGCTCACCATGATCACTGACTTGTTTGCTTATGCTGTTTCCCTCCTGGCCTTCTCCCAAGGGAAGGGAAGAGATTAACATGCATGAGTTAAGGCCCATTTACAAATTACCTCTGTGTTCGGCTGGCTGTTAGGCCTTTGCATCATGTCAGCTCTGCTTCCCTTTCCTTGACCCCACGCCACATTGCTAATGCACATTGCTGTCCGTGTGCGCCATCCAGATTATGTGGTTATTTCCTGGGGCAGCACCCCATTTCCACCATCGCCACTCGCAGTAGGCTAGGTGAGAAGAAGCTGAGCTTCCGAATAGCAGCACTCTGCGTGATCTAGAACCCAAGCAGGGTTAGCATTTTCCCACAGTCACTACCATGTTGCAGAAATAATATCTACATTGACCCCGTGTTCAGTGCTGCATTCACTGAATTGTGGCGACACTTCAGACAAGATGTGGCTCTTTATGTGGGGGTTGGATGCATTATCCCGCCAGGAATAACTGTTACACCTCATTACTAGAACTGTAAGAATGCACTTGCTAAATGTTACACTGCGTATTCCATGTGAACTAGTGGCCTTCCAAGACTGTTGTCCTCAAGATGTGTTAGACTATGACTCTGTGATGGCTGGGGACAATAGGCATG